GCCGTTTCTATTCTTTCTATAGGCGCGCTCTCATTAGTACAATTTCAAACTTTAATATCTCGATTATTATTACGGATATCGCTAAACGGTAAAGGACTTTTATGTTTATTTCGATCCCATCTACCTTCCTGTGAGAGATTGGAAGAGTGGGGCTGGACACCCTGTATAACTCTCTCTTTCTCTCTCTCTCTCTCATATATACATATATATTATATAAGTATATTACAATTACTTGACTGAAGTATACAGAGTAGTGTGCAATTTTCAGATTGCTGATTTTCCTAATGTAGTTGGCTGCATTGATGGCACGTCGATTAAAGTTCGAACACCAGCGCATAAAATTAAGTCAACATACATAAACAGACACGATATTCCTGCAATTACTTTACAAGGTATATGTGATGCTCGAAAAAGGTTTATTGATGTCTTCACAGGGATTCCAGCAAAGATCCACGATTCGCGAGTTTTAAAGTTATCAGACATCAATGATGATTTACAACAAATCTGTGAAGGAAAATTTCATATATTGGGTGATGCAGCATACCCAATTAGGGAATGGCTAATGATTAATTATAGGGATTATGGAAATCTGTCCGAGAAACAGCGGAAATCTAATAAACAATTTTGTACAACTCGAGTATTAATCGAGAATGCGTTCGGACTCTTGAAGACTCGTTTTCGACAACTTACTGAATTAGATCTTCATAGCGTTGATAAGATATCTAAATTCATAATTTCTTGTTGCGTCTTGCATAATTATGCATTGACAACGACGATGACTTTACTTTCGATATTGATGTACCCTCATCATCAGATAATGAAGAATCTAATAGTGAAAATGAAGGAGAGCAGGAGGCTTTACTCTGGAGATTGGGAGAAATGAAAAGGGATCAGTTGTTAAATATACTTTTCCCATGAAAAGAAACAACAATAATAATTTAATTACATATAACATGTTTATTTATCATATCAAAACTGTATACTTGTCATCTTTTGTGAACATTCAGGTTATAACCTCGTTATAAATATATAAGAATATGTTAATATATAAGTAATATGTTAAAAAATGTAGTTATCACAACAATAATGCACTTCAGCATTGCAGTATAATTTTACTAACTATATCATAATTTCATACAGTATTATAAAGTAAATAAACTCTTTGTATTAAATAATAATAAAAAAAATAACTTTCCATTATCAATGAAATTTTTTGCTAAGGGTAATAAATAATATATCAGTCGTATACAAAGAAAATTATTCATACGAATATTTAAACTAATGTAACAAACAAAATTCTTAATAAAAAAGTCCAATATCTTACAGAAACTTACTGTAATTTACTTTAACATACTTTAACATAGGAACTTTCATATATAGTTCTATTTATATATAATTCTAATATCACATCAATAACTATGTTTAGTTCTTCTTTTTTTATTTTTCATTACTTTATTACTGTATTACTCTGTATTTGGTTTACCGAACAACTCGCATATCAGGTCTACTTTTCCTTATGTCGCTTTTCCTTTGCGGCTTCTTTTTTTTCAAATAATTCCATTCTTATATCTTCATTAGTCCGCCTAGGCTTTTTTGCCTTCGGCGAGCCATCAATGGCATGCTTTGCAAGATTAATGCTGCAGATTTCTTCCGGAATTTCAGGTACATTGAATTTAGGATATCTCACACTTCTGACACTTCGCAATACCTCAGGTTCGATGCTGTCATCTGAATGTGCAATTTTTCGCAATTCCTCTTCAAATGGTACTTTTTCTCTGGAACTACCTGATTTACAATTATTCTCTACGGCTTTCTTCTTTCTTTTCAAGACGGTCTTGTACCGATTTTCAATTTGTAGAGAAGTTTTGGAGATGTTTAACATTTTCATCATATCTGTGGATATTTGTGACCACATGAGTTTTTTAGTTTTAAATTTCTTCATTGGACCAATATCGGATAAATACGTTTCGTATTTGTCGAGGATAAATGAAGTGGCCGCATCAGTCCAGTAATCTGAATATTATTTAAATTATAAAATTTGTATATTAATATAATAACGAATATTGTAGGATCATAAAATCTACTAATCGTTGAACAGCATGGAATTAGTCTTATTAATATATTGCGTTTTATGCAGTACTGTAACAAAAAGAGAAAGGAAAATCGAAAATGAACATTTTATAATTATATATCAAATGTACTATATTTTAAATATATTTTTTACCTTTTTATTAAAATTATGGTAAAAACTTTCAATTCAAATTTTAAAATTAACGCATATCTTGTTTCATATGATGTTGCAGTATTGTCATATGTATTGTGCTGAAGTACTAAAAAAGCTGTATTCAACTGTATTTACCAGTACTCTTTTGACTACAGTCCTGTGATTCAAATAAGTAATTTGTTGCATCATTTTCTTTATCACACTCTGCTAATTGCTGATTATCAATCTGTCCTAGATTGTAGATATTAGCGTGGTATATTATTTCTTCTCTGTAATTAAAAATATACAGATATTTTTACATTGTCTTACAACTATCTTGCTTTTAAGGAAATTTTTTATGCGGCTCACACTCATTTTTATTTCCTAATTACGCCGTTTCAACAACATATATGTATATTCTACTTTCTACTTACTTATTTCCAATAACACGATATATTTCCTTAATTTCCTGATCTTTTCCATTTATGACAAATAATCCATTCCGGATAAGGAGTTTTATATATTGTATGCTGTAGGCATCATCATCTGTGAAAAAGATATATATATACAGAAATTACATAATTTTCTTTTATGTATGCTTTAAAATATAAAAGAAAATGTGTTTGTACACAAATGATATAGGTCATTCTAGAACAAATGCTCGAAGATCTTTTTATGCACAAGTACAATTAACGCCACATACAAAATGCAGTAAATACAATTATTGTAATATATTTTCGAACTGTATAAAATGAATCTTAAGACATATGTTTCTGCATTGTTTTCCTAAAATAAAATTCTCATCAATATTTTTTTCCAATTTTTGCGCTGGAATAACCTTAAATAAGATTAGACGTATATTATGTACTTACTCTTTAATTTTTCATATAAATCAAGTTCAGTCGAATCAAGGGTTAGTTTCAGTATGTCATTATTGACTTTAAAATTAATGCTGAATCTTTCCATAGCGAATAGGTATAAAAATATAGCGGCAAAATGTGCACTGTAACCGTACCGAAATCGACATACGTGTTTATGCTTGGTTTATGCTTCGGTCTTAATCCTAAAATCTTAAAATTCAGCCAATAGGGCTACCAGTCTTAATTGGTCCTAACGGAAATCTGTATTCCATTGGCTGAATTTTAGGATTTTCGGGTTAAGACCGAAACATAAACCAGGCATTAGCTGGGAATCACGAAACTCGCACTTTTGGCAACCTCGTACAGTGCTGCTGCCACTGAACGAGTTTTTGGTGCGCACTCAGTGCGGCCCAGTGAAATACGCTATAAGTATAAAAGGATATACAGTAGGGACAAGCAAATCTGTAATTTATAGCATGCAAATGTATACAATTATTGATAAGTATGTACATATATGATATTCTTGATATCTTATATATTATTTAATTACATATAGTACAAAATCATTACTTAAAGTTATGAATATGAGATGTGTCGAAATTATTTTTCTACGTTCTTCCTGCAGTCTAATCAAGTCCTTACAATCTTACAACTCGAAATGGCATTTCAGCTTTAGCACTGAAAATCTTGGCGTGTTCTTTTGAACTTACATTATTCAGTGCAACCCATGGAACTCATAAGGTCCAGCTACAATGGAGAGTTTTAGACCGTAACAGTAGTCGTAAGAGACGTATTTCCGGTTTAGTAGGTCGCAACTGTAGTTGTAAGCGAAATGAACCATTTCCATTTCGGTACTGCCTACGGCTTACGGCAAGCAATGCCGGCTGCAGATATTTGTCGCGCGCGACACGCGATATCCAATGAGCGTATTGCAAGCCAAATTTTGCAAGCAGATAAACCACGAACAGCTCCATGGGACGTCAGCCTGTGATAAGTGAATTTTGATATGCAGCTTGGATAATCATTTAATATTAAAATAGCGCCATGTCTGACGAAGAAATTTTTGATGATGATATAATAAATAATCTAGAGGATGATGACGATGAACATGATACGGTATTGCAACAAGAGCTTATCGCTCTTGTCAAAGCGAATCCCGCTCTATATGCAAAAAATTGGAAGGAATATGCTGGTAAAGATTTTTGTAGAGACTTAGCTTGGGAGAGCATTGGATTTCATTTATCAAAACAAATGTCAGGTGAGATGCATATAAATTAGTTGATATGTTTGCATGTTAACATGAGGTTAAGATACTTCATTTGTGTTTTAATTTCTCTTATCATCAGGAAAAGATGCTACCAAAATATGGTATAATATTCGTCAGCGATTTGGTAGGGAAA